AATTTGAGCTGACAATTTTTTCCTTCGGATGGGAAGAAAGAAATCCATTTGAGATTTTGAGAACAGAAATTCTCATGAATTTTGTCTTTCCTTGGGCCACAAAGAGTTCTTTCCTTTTGAAAATCCTTCACGATGTGCCAGCAAATGACGAGTGTCAATTGATGCTTCACACGGTAATCAATCGATGAATTCACTACCATTCCATCATATGGATCCCGTAAGGTCGTTAGGGTGAGTCTAATTCGTCATCAAACTTGATTGGGTCTTATTTTATGCATATGTTCTCATTCATATGACATGCCTTGTGCAATTTAAACTTGCATAAAAAATATCCTTTTCTTGCATGTGTCGTCGACCAACCGCACATCTCACCAGTTTCAACAGACTATCTTTGTCGACTTGATGGATCGGTTGGCACCAGCCCGATTGTTTCAAACTACTTCCTTCATCGACTCAATCGATCGACCGCCACTAGCTCGATCGTTTCGATTGTCTTTCCTCGTTGATTCAATCGATCAGCCACTAACGTCTTGATAATTTCAATCGACTTTCTTAACTGACTCAATCGATATGCTGCCTCTAGCCAAATCATTTTGATCGACTTTCCTCATCAATTCAATCAATTGTTTGACATCGTCCCGATCGTTTTGATCGACTTTCTACGTCGATTGAATCGTTCTGCCTCCACTGGCCTGATTTTCTCAATTGATTTACTCTATCAGTTTGACTGATCGACTGCCACCAGCTAATTCTCTCAATTGACTATCTTCGTCAGCTCGATCGATCGATTATCACCGAATCGACCATTTTGATTAACTTTCCTAGTAGATATCTCCACCAGCTAATTCTCTCAATTGACTATCTTCGTCAACTTGATCGATCGATTATCACCGAATTGACCATTTTGATTAACTTTTTTAATTTATTCGATCATTGGCCACCCTTGGCCAGAATGTCTCGATTGACTTTCTCCATCGGCTCAACCGATCAACTACCACCACCCTGAATGCCTAGACCGACTATCTTTATCAGTTTTATGGATCGGTCGGCACTAGCCTGATTGACTCAATTGACCATTTTCGTCAATCCGACTGATCCACTGTCATCGACCTGATCAGCTCGATAGACCACTTCCATCAGCTCGACCACATCGATCGACCGATTTCATTTGAATGACACATTTTTGTGTGCTATAGATATTTTCTATATAAGCACTTTGCAAATGCACCCCATCATGCACTAGTGTGTATATGCCCCCATATGCTCATAGTAGATATCCGTGCCCTATTTGAACTTACTCCTTGCATGTTTGCTTGCATAACATATTGTATGTTCATGTGTTGCATGCTTCTATTTTGCATTCGACCTTGTGTTCTTACACTCTCATTTCAACACTCATGTGTCCTCTGTGAGGATGGCTTACACACCAGGCCTACCCGGCGTGTGCTTCTCTCTAATGAGGATTGTGCTCCTTCACTTCCTTGTAACACCACTTTGGAATGTCCTAGGTATTTCATGTCGTATCAGAAGGCACAATTCATGCTTCCTAGCCCCTGAACCTGCTTAGTGTGTGATTTGTCTTTCCTCATGACAATATCCTACACTGTCACGATCGACCACGTACTCTTGCAAAAGGCGTATGCTTGCTTGCTTGCATGATGCATCATACCTTGTATATGTCTGTCATTTGTCTGTGTGTCAGTCTCTATTAGAGCAAGGTGCAATTCTCCCCTGCAACATCATATACCCTAGATAGCAAAACACAACATCATTTGTGGGATGTGCCTTGCATGTACATCCTTGCACTATCAATGTATTCGTCGATAGTATACTCCACCGTATACTTGTGACAAATATTCGCTACCTCGTGATCATTCCTACTCTAACGAAGTGATCGCAATGCACTATCTCACTTTACATCTGCATGTGCATTTTCTGGTTGTCTCGACGATGAAGTCGTCTCGTTAGCTGAGTGACCCACTGTTGGTCATGATGCATTAGCGAGCATTGAACACGAGGATATCTTAGTGGGCAATACCAGCTATCACACCATGACTAGCATGTGTATGTTGTGCTAAGGTTTCAAGGGATCTAATAGGTGACTTAGGCTTTTCCTTCTCAGGACTAATGTGTAGAAAAAAATGATTAATTTTTTTATATTTTGCACGGTTTTATGGATGAAATTACACTTTAAAGAAATGTATTTTTATGTTTTTCTTGTAGGTCCAATAAATTTTAAAAGCTGAGCAAAGTGGAGAAAAAATGGAACAAAGTGGAGGTGACTTTGAGCTAAGAAGGACCCAAGTGACTGGTGTCTTTGCGTCAGATTTTCCAGTCACACCCTAGGAAACCGAGAGGCTGGCGCTCAATGGGCACTAAGGCTCCACCACACCAGCACCTTAGCACAAATTTTTGGGCGCATAGACGCTCTTAACACCTAGTTGTCAGACATTATCTGAGCAGTTTTTAGTAGTTCCTCTACATGATGTACGGAGTTATTAAGCCATGGAGAGGAGCTTTAATGGAGATTGCTGATAGCCTTTTAGAGGAGATATTAGAGGTTTTGTTGTAGGATAGAGTTGGAGAGCATTTGTGGGGGGAATTATAGAGAATTTCAATTGTAAAGTGAGGAGAGACTCGAGGAGAGCAGCAAGGGGACTAGGAGATCCTTAGGGAAGCGTTCTCAACACTTTGTAAGGGTAGAAGTATTGTGTGCTCTTGTTATTGTATATCTGTAAACACAATTCTATAGTGAATTTACTTATTTTCAAAGATGCTTTGTAGTGATTTCTCAATGCTTTCTGAGTAGTCATTTTGCCTTTTCTTTTGTGGTGATTAACTGAAAGTGTAGGAATGAAAGAATGCTTTTATAATTATTTTTAAAGCTATAATGTGATGAGTAACCTTCAAGACTTCATTTACTTTTCATTCTGGTCAAGTGATTAGTTAAAATGCGTTGTGATCCATAATGACTCGGGAGAGCTATGGAAGAACAATTAGGTTATTAACATTGATCTATATGGTATGGTGAAGTACTTTGTAGAGAGATGCAAATGTTAGGAAAATAATCTTTGATGAGATCAAATTTGGATTTAACGAACTAAAATCAGTTTAATCAATCTTCTTTATGCACTTTAGAGAGAGTAAGAAAGAGAGTTGCTCCTATTTGTCACTAGCCTCATTCACAATTTGCATTTTCATTTCCTTCACCTCTCTTAGATCATTGCAAGGGAAGGTGGCTTTATAACTTGATTTTCAACAATCCAACTAGATTAAGTAGAATTTCAGCAGGAGCAAACCCTTAAGAGTAGTTTGCAATTTATTCAACTTTAAACCAATAACTTTAAACCAATTTAACTTCCAAGCTAAGAACAAATTTTGGAGGAGAAGAAAAAGAATGAAAATAAGTTGGGATGAAAAAGTTTTATTGAATTGAATTTGAATTTAATATCGGTGAAAATTTTTTAGAGGCTTGCAAATATCAGTCAGGTTCAATACCCATCAGCAAATCAAAAGCCTTCCATATCAGTGAAAAGGTTTGAGTGACTTGCAAATTTCAGCAAGATTCAATACCCATTAGAAAATCCAAAGCCCTCCATATCGGTGAAATGTTTCGAGTGGCTTACAAAATTCAATCATGTTCAATGCCCATTAGAAAATCCAAAGTAAACCAACTTCCAAGCTAACTCAGCTCCAAAATCTAAACTCTCAAAGTAACATTTAATACTTCCATATCTATTTGTAAAATATCAATAATATCTTAAAATGACAAAGTTAAGCAAAAAATTAGCTTTCAAAGTATACTAGGGCTACATTCCTCAATGTTTTCGAGTAGGAGATGAATCAAAGGATGAGAAATATGGTTCAGAGGTCTTTTTACATCGATCTCATCGTTGCCTTCCCTACTAGCTTTGCCACCGATCGAGAGCAGAAGATAAGTGAAATCTCTGATCTGAGAGAGAGTTGAGGGAGTGACGAACTCGGTATGCTATAGAGTAGAAAATGGAAGGGAACAACATGTAGAATCTTGCCCTTATTGGGCGATCGAAGCAATACAGAAGGGAGCAAATTGATTTTTTAGGAGGGGCAAAATACCTAAGTAGCTCGCCTCGTACTAATTAAGATCTGAAACTAGAGAGGGGAGGGGGGTTGTCACTACTATATACAACTATTACAACTAGGTCGTTAATATACTTCTGTAATTTCTTTTTTTTTTAATTTAGAGAAAAAGCTCGCCTCGTACTAATTAAGATCTGAAACTAGAGATGGGAGGGGGGTTGTCACTACTATATACGACTATTACAACTAGGTCATTAATATACTTCTGTAATTTCTTTTTTTTTTTTAATTTAGAGAAAAGTGAACATATGTATTCACAAATATATAGTGAATTACTACGATTATGCTAAATTTTGTGGCTTTTATCCTATATAGGTTTTTCCACATAAAAATTGTGGTGTCTCCTCATATTACTTCTCTATTATCTATATATATGTTAGATTTTCATGCACCATTGAGATGTTATTTTATTACTCATGTTGATTACATTTTCATTTCCATATATTCATACCTTGAGCATAGTCGTAGAGTACTAGCACTATTATTCAAAATTTGATAGTATTTTTCTCCTCTAAATGCAAATCATGCAATTGACTTAAAATCAACAAAAAAATCTTCAAAGCACATCGGACCACATTATCAAAAAAATGATTCTCAGTTGAGCGGAAAAAAAGACTTGGCAGAAATATAATAGCCTATAACATATAAAATTGAGAACATTACAATAAAATCAAGAAGAAAAATTTAACTTTTAAGAAATATATATTTCATCCATTAAACATACCAACATCATTTCCATGCTCTCTCCACCATTTCTTTTTGGCCACAGAACACAGTTTAATAAATAAACAAAAACCCTACCCCAGGTGTAAATATAACAAATTACCCATCGAACCCCACAGAGAAAATCGAAATTACAAAACAAACCTCAACTTAGCTTGCTATCGACCCCTCCCTCCCCATAAAAATAGACCTTCTTCCGGCGCTCGGCCCGGCCCAACCCACAAATCACAATGAAGCACGCCGCGTAAATCCCGTGCACCTTCCAGTTCGCCCGAGGAGCTTCTCCCGCCGGCCCTCAACCCGATCCCCTGCGCGCCCAAGTACACCAAATAGCCAAAAGTCTGAACCGCCTGCGTCCACGCGTAAGCGTTCGGTGACGCGGCGTAGAAAAACCAGAGGGGCTCGAGCCCCGTCACCAGGGCCGTGAGCGAGAGCGTGGTGAAGTAGATGGCGAGGTACGCCTGAACGAAGAGAAGAGAGCGGTGGAGGGAGGCGCAGCGGAGGAGGTGGCGGAAGACGGCGGCGAGCAGAAACAGGGGGAGGAGGAGGACGGCGGAGGAAGCCGCGTAGGCGATCGACGGGGCGTATCGGTTTCCGACGAAGGGTTTTACGCCGGCGGTGATATCGCGGTGGGTTTTGGAGAGGTAGTGCTTCGAGGTGGCGGAAAGCTTCTCGAGGTCGGGGAGGATGGCGGAGTGGAGGCGAGAGGGGAGATCGCGGAAGTCGGAGATGAGGTCGTCGTCGGAGCCGGTGGTGGTGATGTCGGTGTCGTCGAGCAAGTCGGCCGGTGAAGTTTGGGGTTTCAGTTTGGGAATGGATTGGGATTTGGAAGGAAGTGGTTTCAGGTAATTGATTTGCCCTGTTTTGGTGGAATTGGATTTGGTGGTGTTTTTCTTTGTGTTGCTAATGGTTTTATTAAGCTGATTGGCGGTTTTTTTTAGCTTGGATTTGGTGGGAGAGGTGGTGGCGGAGGAGAGAATTTTGGTGAGTATGGATGAAGAAGAAGAAGAGGAATTTGCTGTGTTGGATTTGAGGGGTTTGGTTTTGTTCTTAGCTTCTGGGAGTTGTGATATGGGTTTGTTTTTGGGAGGGGGTTTTGATTTGGGAATGGGAGAATCGTTGGGATCTTCTTCGGTGTTGGAGGAATGTAGGTTTCTTCTGTGAAGGAGATTGCGGTGTGAAGATAGGGGGATGGGAAGGGAGAGGGAGAAGAAGAGGAGGAGGAGGAGGAGGGCGGCGGTGGTTGGCGACGGAGAGAAGAGGAAAGATGGCATTTTTTTGAAAAGGTAGATCTGATAAAAGATTGGATTTTGGGACAGGGGGCGAAGATGGTGAATGGAAATGTGGCTTTATAAAAGGGAGAGAGAGTTGCAGATTCACAGGGAGGATGGGGACAGAGGGTGGAAATCGGGATGAAGACGATGAAGATTAGTGAAGGTGAAGAATGTTGACTGCTGCCGAAATGTACAAATTGATGAGCTGTTGGGAATTTTGGTTCAAAAGAAATTAATATAATATCATTATTTTATTTTCTTAATAAAAAAACAATAAATTATATAATATATCAGAAAATACTTGTATAATTTTGACTGAAATGAATTTTAAAAACATTATGTTCAATTTAGGATCAGTGCTTTATAATAATTTTTAGACTCATCGTTACTTAAAATTACATCATTATATATTAAGCAATTTTTTTATAATGATAAAATTTAGTCTAATTTTATTATTCAATTGTCATTTTAAATAATACTTAAATTCAATGGCTTATCAACAATTGTTGGTGATGAAATTATCTGTGGATCATTTTAATTTTTTATAATTTATATCATTTATATGAACAAAAAAATGATTGGATAACATAAATGCTATAATAAAGTGAAATTTTACTAATTTCATTTTACAAGTCAAAATCGTTGAATATATTTTAATATACTTTGAACCATAGATTAATTTGTTTAGAAATGTCTGCATTTTAAAATCATAATTTGATATCTAGGAGCCATATATATCAATATATAATTTTTAGTGTTTTTAAAATATATTGATTATTATTTAGAGTTATCTGTAACTATACCTAACGAATAGAGTACAAGACAAGAGAAAGAGATGAAGAAAGAGAGACACATGGAGAAGAGTGCACAGTAAATAAACTAATATGGAGGTAATTCAAGTCTTTCTGGGCCTCTCGGACCTATTTTATTCATAAAATGATCTCATATTTATAGGGGAAAATGTACAATATCTAAAGTTACATGTTTGCCTCTATTTTGATAGGGGCGTCGTAGGGGTATTTATGATATTTTAGATGTATCTGCGGGTCTTCTGATTGTCCAGACCATAAGGCATCTGGGCTGTCAATCATCCAGGCTGTGGGCGGTCTATGTTGAGGTCGTTCGGGCTGTTGGTCATCCAAGTTGTGGCCATCCAGACTATGGGTTGTTGAGGTTACTAGTCATCAAGGTTGTTGGTCGTCCTGACTGTGAGTTGTTTCTCTGAAAAATTGAGTCTGACATATTTTTATTATATATTTTTTAGTTCATAATTCTCTTATCCCTTAAAAAAACTGTGAAAATAATAAGAGAATTATAAAAATGAAACAAAAATTGCAAGTCTTTCCAAATATAAGTCAAAATTTTATTTACATAAGAATGAGCAGTGATTTTGGAAGTTGTTCTAAAGTTGAGTGACTGAATGGACCTGAAAAAGATGATGGAGTGAGTTTGAGATGCTATCACGTAACCTAGGTCTTACACGACACATGTTTCGGTCGATCAATAAGGTCGTAGTTTTGGATATGCCATGACTTACGCCAGACATATTAAGTGGATATTGTCACAGTCTTTTGCAGGGATGACTATCCAAACTCGTTGTTGGGTTGATTTGCATCCTGCTCACTGCAGATCATTTCACTAATTGATAATATACTACCTTTAGAGCTTGACTTAGACCAAGCTAGAAGAGACAAATGTTTATCAATGCTTGAGTGTTGTGGGTGGAATATTCGAGTAGACTCCAAAAAATTTTGACCACTTCCACCATACTTTTTAGAAACTTTCTTGTGATGGGCAAGTTCCCAGCGTGTTTGTGGCAAACTTGTTATATCCATATTAATGAAAAAAAAAACTTAATGAAAGAATAAGGAGGGTTGTGAGATATTTTCCTTGAAGTTTCATCGATAAACTTTTTTTGTTAGTTGATCGTCTGAGTTGTTGGTCATCCAAGCTACGGGTCATCTAGGCTTTTGGTCGTTCAGGCTACGAATCATCTAGAATGTTGGTCCTCCTGGCTACTGGTTGTTCATGCTGAGTTGATTGGGTCCTAGCCTGGACGAACCTTAGCTAGTCAGGACGAATATGATCCTCGGCTCTTCTCCTTCTATTGCTTCTCTTCTCATTTGTGACATGATCCACACTAATCGCGCCTTTTAAAATATTCAATCGTGGTCTGTTAGTGAATCACACCCATGGAATAGAGTGTAAGACAGGAGAGAGATAGAGAGGTAGAGAGAGAAGAGTTCATAGTAAATGAACATTAATACGGGGTACTTGGAGCATTCCCATGCTTCTTAAATCTGTTTTATTCATAAAATGATATCCTATTTATAGGGGACAAGGTACAATTTCTAAAGTTACATATTTACCCTTATTTAATGGGGGCATTACAAAAGTATTTCAAACATTTTGCATATATGAACTTGTCATCCAGGTTGTGTGTTATCTAGGCTACAGGTTGTTTAGGTTGCGGTAGTTTAACCTGGTGGTCAAGGTTGCGGGTCTTTCAGGCTTTTGGTGGTCAAGGATGCAGGTTGTCTAGTCTACGGGCTGTCCATGCTGAGGGTCATTTAAGTTAATAATCACCTAGGTAACTAGTCATGCAGGAAGCTATTCATATATGTTGTGAGTTATTTAGGTTGCAGGCCATTCAGGTTGCTGATAGTTTTGACAACGAGTCATCCAGACTATCGGTTGTCAATCCTGAATGTCGGTCATCCTGACTGCATGCTGTCCCTTTGAGAGGCTCAACTTAACATTATTTTTATTATACAAATTTTAATTCCCTGATTCTCTTCTCTTTAAAAGGAAACTATATAAATAATAAGAAAATTATAAAAATAAAACAAAAATTGCTCGTTTCTCTAAATACAAGTCAATTTTTTTTTGAATTAAGAATGTGTGGTAATTTTTTGAAAAAGTTCGAAGGCCGAGTGACTATATGGGACTAGAAAAGCTAATGGATTGAGTTTGAGATGCTATCACCGAACCCATGTCTTTTGCCACTCATGTCACAATTACTTTATTAGATCGTTGTGTTTGAAGGGCCCAACCTTACACTAGATGTATTAAACAGATCTTCTTGTAGTATTTATGGGTTATTTGTTCAGACTGGATGTTAGGGTAATTTTCATTCTTCTCACTGTAGATCTCGCAGTAAATAGATAGGGAACCACATTTAGAACTTGAACTATGTCGAGTTGGGAGACATAGGATTTTATTGATGCTTGGGTGATCCCGACACAATTTGTGCATGCTTAATGTACAATTACTTCAATTCAAATCTCAGACAATGACACCAAAAAATTGAATCCCACTACCCGTATGTGCTTGCACCCTTAATTCTTGACTGAGTACTATTTAACAAATAATTATCTTTTTTCTCCACAATTCAATTTTACACACTAGGGATACTACACAAATACACAGGGATACTACACAAGTACACATATCGTTTCAAGTAATATAGGAATTTCTTTTAATCCCCAAGTATTAATCCCACGGGGAAGAAAAAAACTCTTTTTATTGACTAAGTAAAATTCTACTTAAACTGCAGACAAATTATCTAGGAATTAAGGTCGAAGTTGTTTGTATATAAAGAAGTAACTAATACTTATAAATTATATTTCTAAACTTAGAGAAATGCAAAATATTTTTAAACTAGTTTTATGTAGAAGAGTTGATCCCCGACAATTATAGTTGTGCAAAATTTATAAAGTTGACTCCGCTTTGCAACGACGTCAAAAACTTGTTGCATTAATTTATGAATAGGAAATTTAAATAATTTATGTTGTGATTCTACGCAAGTATACGTATCGTTATCAAGTAATACATGAGTTTCTGTTTAAGCCTCAAATGTTGAATTTTTATTTAAGCCCCAAATATCTATCTCACGAGGAAGGTTTAAATTCAAAATGATAAATTAACTAAGAAACTCACAACAATAAAATAAAAATACTGTCACTAATTTTGAATATTTAAGGTACTATCAAAATTAAGTTATTAACTATTGGCAAAATTGTAATGCAAAGTTAAACAGTAACTACCAAACTATGTTTATGTGATGAAGTTATCTAATATGAAAAAACATCTTTCCCCACAACAATGAGTTTTGGTTAAATGAGATGAGATAAATGGTTTAAATCTATATTGTGCCAAATATGAATAATTTTAATTCTCTACTCTTATTCAGTGTTATAGAGAATCATTGGCTAATCTCAGGTTTAGTCCCTAAATCCGTGGTTAGGCTGGGAGGATACTGTCTCTCACTCCAGAGTTCCCACTTCCCTTTCCCTAAAGGCTAACACTCGCTTTAGATTTTAAACACTAAGACCAAATTGAGAATTTTTATTTATTTGCACTTAATTCTATGAATGAAACACTCCTCCATGGAATTAAATGTGATTATCACTCTATTATAGAACTCATATTCCATTTTTCGGATCATACGTTTCACAACAGATTTTAACATTTCAATTGTCCATATCAAAAGTAAATTAAGAACAGAGTGGAAAAACCATCACAATTTATTTTATATTTTAAAATTTGCACATCCAAATTATCTTTTCATTTCACCATATCTCATAGTAGGGATAAAGATAAAGAAAACCACTCAAACTTCATGAGAAAGATACGACAAAACACAAATTTCATATATAAATGAAAGTTCATACAACAATAATAAACAAACAACACTTATCTGAAACTCTGTCTTAAAGAAAATCCATTGTAACATCTCTTAGACTCTTTCTCTCTTTACAAGACTCTTGATTATTTCTTATAATATATAAGGAAGAAAAAATCTCTCCCTTCTCTCCCTCTCCAACAATTCTTAGAAAAGAATTCGCACTTACACTCACCACAAAACTTAAAGAACTAACAAAAAACTTTAAGGAACTAAAGGACTATTGGACACAAGGTGGGGGGGGAGGGTGGGGGGGGGGGGGGCGCTTTTTCTGATCAATTTTTACTCTAAATATAGCCTAATGTCGGTTTTTCAA